GGATTTTAGGCCGTTAACTAACGGCTTAATTTCGTTCAGTCTGTTATGTTTATTGTACGATTTTAGGCCGTTAACTAACGGCTTAATTTCGTTCAGTCTGTTATGTTTATTGTACGATTTTAGGCCGTTAACTAACGGCTTAATTTCGTTCAGTCTGTTATGTTTATTGTACGATTTTAGGCCGTTAACTAACGGCTTAATTTCGTTCAGTCTGTTATGTTTATTGTACGATTTTAGGCCGTTAACTAACGGCTTAATTTCGTTCAGTCTGTTATGTTTATTGTACGATTTTAGGCCGTTAACTAACGGCTTAATTTCGTTCAGTCTGTTATGTTTATTGTACGATTTTAGGCCGTTAACTAACGGCTTAATTTCGTTCAGTCTGTTATGTTTATTGTACGATTTTAGGCCGTTAACTAACGGCTTAAAATCGTACAATAAGAATATAGTTATTTAATATTTTTTATTATATATATTAAAAAAAATATATTATTTATTTTTTTATTTACGAAATTATCATACCGACCGGGATAGTGGCTTAAAATCTCACAATAAACAGACCGTGATAGTAACATATTATGTCATTATATATATTCCCGCCATAGCTTTGTCTCCAGGAGGGAATCTCCTTGTTTCTGAAGCATTTGGTGGCGGAGGTATTTCTGAGATATTCATAGACTGGGTTTATTTTAAAGTCCTGAAATCAAGAGAAATAATTCCTACCACTGAGGAAAGCGCAGAAGATCAGATTTTACGGCTTTCCTGTTCTCAAAATTTCGAAGTTGCATGGTTTGATTCTTCTTGCGATGCGATATCAGTAGTAAAAGTGACCGGATTTAGCACTGAGGGGGAGGCCCAGATCCAGAGGCAAGAGAAAATCACATATTATATGCTTAATGGAGAAGAAAAACGAATCGCATGCAATGATGACTTTTTTCCTGATATTTCTCACGATGGACAAAACCTTATCATTGCCACAGAAAATGAAATAGTGTTGCTGGAGTCAGCAACAGAAGGGAGTAATGCACTTCTCATTGCATCAGACCTTAAACCTTCTGGACATTTAAGGATAAACCACGAGGGCCAATTGATGGTCTGTAAAGAAAACGCAGTCAAATTGTATGAATACAAGAATGAAGTTAGGTCACTTCAGAGTTTTTGCCGACGTTACATCAGAGAAACAATTCACACTAATTTTGTTGGAAAAGAGCTCCTCTCAGGAATTTCATGTTCACTGAAAAATGATGATGGCAATGCCAATGATGGTGCTGATGATGATGATGATGACGATGATGACGATGATGATGACGATGATGATGACAATGATGATGACGATGATGATGGTGGTGGTGATGATGTAGATGATGTCAGAGAACCAATTCTTACTTACTATGCTGAAGTAGTACACAACTTAGCTATTCCTTCCTCACTGAAAGACTACCTATTGTACAAGTCAGTTTAAGCCAGAAGTGGAGGTGAATAGTGGTGGATATTTATCAAGCCATGACATGGTGAGGTAAATATCCACTCCTTTCAGCAACACTTAGATGAATAATTATTTTTAGTATATACCCCATAGAAACCAGAAAAATGGTTTATTTCTGTCAATATAGCAAAAATTAGTGGGAAATTAAATTATTAATGCACAATGTTGTCTCTTCAGCAGCTTGGAGATGAGAAGTACTTGCGAATCTCTTCCAAATTGGCCAATCAGGGCGTGCAATCTTTACCTGTGTGGTGTATACTAACTAGATTTAGGGACTATCAATCCTCATTAGTTAAACCAAGGTTATTGTGGGTCTTGTCTTTTCTCTAATAGCAGGGGATTAATTGTTAATATCACTTACCAAATAAAATGAAAGGGAAATGATAGAATGAAATAATGATTTCTGATCTTTCCTTGAGCAAAGTGTACTTAGAGAGTTGCTTTCCCAATGTGAAATCAAAATAATGATAATTATGTTATATCCTTTAAGAGGAATGTGATATCCAGATATTAGTATAGAACTGTAACAATTACTATAACATAACTAAGGTCTATATTTAAACTGATTTTTAATAAACATTTCTTCAGCTTGTGTTAGCAGAATACCTCATCAACCACTCCTTTGAATGTCTGTACAATGACTAGTGTCAAATTGATCCTTTGGAAAATCATCTGATTCTCAGCCTGAAGGGAACCCTTAATTAAACCCATGGAGGACTTAGTGCACAAACAAAGTGTGAAGAAAATGCCAAAAAGTAAATATTGTAACAGTAATATCCTAATATCAATCATTTAACTTGCAAGCATACTCAATTCAGATACTAAAGATATACCTATTATTAACTTTCCAGCCAAAATTCACTTAAACAACAATTAGATAAACCCACATGATATTCATATGCATTTTCTCCTTTTAACGTAATACCCACCCAATGATTATAACAATCATTGTCAGTATCTAAGCAAATTTACACCTACCCCTCCCATACCCAATCAGTGTAAGGAGTAGGTAGGGTAGGGTAGGGCAGGAGTTGGTGCACAGTTGCTCAGATACTGACAATGATCCAATTATAACATGGTCTTTGGCTTGGTCTCTTGATGTTCTTACACCTCAGTATCATATTGCATATTATCCTCACTCATCTCTTTACATTTCTTATGGAACTTCCAAGGAGAATTTGTTTGACAATCAAAAGCTTTTTAATTTGGTGAACATGGATTCAGCAGTGGTTGCTGTGGGGAGAAATAAGATGCTAATTGTCACTCTTAGCAGTTAAAAAAGGGGAAACACCATCCATACTGCATTAATTTCTGAAAGCTTGATAGCTTTAGGTTTAAAATTTCAGATTCAAAATGATTTTGACTTGAACCTCTCACAGCTGAAATCAAACACGTCCATAGTAGTGGCTAATTTTTTTGCTTCACAGAGTCTAAGCAATGGTTGCCCAAAGTGGTACACCATTTGTTTGTGAAAAATTCTACAACCTCTCCTTCAGAGAAGAGGAAAAAATATACCCTTAAGCTCGTAGTTTTCTGCTGTTTGTATCATACGAATCAGTTCATGCTTTCAGCTGTGTATATACCACATTTCTTCGCTCCATGATGTTACAGTAACCAGATTTATGATCGAATATGAGCTTTCTGTGGGTTCTTAATTTAATTCTTTGAAAAGTAATCAGGTTTTTGAAAACGAACTGGCCACATGTTATTCACTGTCTCACCCCTTCTCCACTTGCTACTTTTTGGAGTGATTTCAACCTATAAAAAGAGCTAATTTATTTATTTATTACAATTTAATGGCATAAATACACAAATGCTGGTATGATACAGTTAATTAACCAAAAACATTTTTTAAGAAGCCATAAGAGAATCTGCAAAGGAGTCCCAGACCCCATGTAACAGCAGATCACCTAATACATATAGTTCGAATGAGATAGTTTTATAATAAAGACAAATAAAATCATTATTTACCCACAAGAAATTTCTTCACATTAAATTTAAAATTCCCAGTACAATTTGCAGTGCGAATGTCGACAGGCAACATATTTCAAGAAACTACTATGCGATGGAAATAGGAATATTTAAGGGAATTAGGCCTTGCATATTTTTTTTTAACGTCAGATGATCATAATGTTTCAAGGAACAATAATCTAAACTAGAGTAATAATCCACAAAAGGTGAAACATCAGTGTCAACAAACCCTTTCAGTGCCTTAAAAAAGAAAGTTATGTCAATTAAAACTCTTCTCTGTCTTCCAAAGATAACAGATATAACTTCTCAAGATGAGCTGCATAGCTATCCTTAGTTTTCAAAATAATTTTAGTGGCATGTCTCTGCACTCGTTCAAGCTTATCAGTGTTATTGCGCAAATATGGGGGAGGGGGGGGACCATATCTCAGAGCAGTATTCATGGTTAGACCTTACTAAGGAACAGAAAAGGGTTCCTTTGCACTCTGGGGTAAAAGTAAATGGGTCCACTTGTACTCTGTATCTTTAAAAATTAGTTTTTTTCTTCAATCATTTTAGTCAAATTCGGTTTCATATTTTCTAATTAATTTTAAAAAAGGGTAAAAAAGTTACCCTCGACCCTCAACAAGAAACCCTTGACCCTCCTACCCTCCACAAAAAGACAGACTCCCGCGATAATTACTCCAGGGTGCTCGTCCAAGTGATTTATTAACTTTTAGCTGAAAATACGTTTTTCTAAATAACTCGGATGCCTCTGCAGATGAAGTAGCTATTCTAAAGATCTATTTCCTTCGGCAGAGGGCAAATTATAGATACCACATTAATGATTCATATAAGAGTGTATGAAATAAATTAACTTTTCATGTAATTTAAGTTGAATTATGGCTCCTGTTGAGTGGACAAGTCGAAACGACATAACGAAACGACATAACGAAACGACGAAACGCCATGACGAAATGACGAAACGACGAACCGATGTGGTCGATGACGAGTCGGACTCGTAAAACGACGAGTCGAAGAGACCAACCGACGAATCGAACTGACAATACGACGAAACGAACTGAAAGTTCAACGAGTCGAACTCGGAAAACAACGACTCGACATTCGACTCGACATAACGAAACGACGAAACGCCACAACGAAGCGACGAATCGAACATTTTGTCCAGGATCTACCTTCATAGTTTTACGCCGAAAAGCTACGGTACTAGTTGGAAGATGAGAGTTATCCCAAACAACTGTGTTTCCGAAATTAAATTCCCAGAGAGTATAGAAAGGGCAGATGGTTTTGATTATAATCCAGTTTTGGATGTTTTTGTAACGTTCGATTATGACTATGGGATGGGTGCATCCTTTTGGTATCCCTCCACTGGAAAAGTTCTTGCTACATTCGAAAATCTTTATAACTTCGATGAAGTGCTGTTTTTACGAGATAATTTCCTGGCTGTAAATTGGTCTGAGGCACATCACGGTAGTTTCATAAAGATATATCCCCTTGACTCTCCTTGTCCTGACAGTGTACTATATGAAATTGATTCCAAAGATCTTCCCGTGCAAGAACCCATACCCAGGGCTTTGTCTCCTGGAGGAAATCTCCTTGTTTCTGAAGCACTTGATGGCGGAGGTATTCACGAGATATTTTGGAGAGAATCGAAATCAAGAGAAATAATTCCTTCCACCAAGGGAAACCATAGGATTTTGAACCTTTGCTGTTCACAGAATTTCGATGTTGCATTTGGACTTGGACATTACGGTGTGATATCATTAAAAGTGACCGGATTTAGCACAGAGGGGAAGGCCCAAATCCAGAGGCAAGAGAAAATCACACATTATATACTTGGTGGAGAAAAAAAAGAAGCCGGATGCACTGGAATTGCCCATGATGGACAAAACCTTATCATTGCCGCAAACAATGAAATAGTGTTGCTGGAGTCAGCAACAGAAGGGAGCAATGCACTTCTTATTGCATCGGGAATACAACCTATTGGACAGATAAGGATAAACCATGAAGGCCAATTGATGGTCTGTGAAGGAAATGCAATCAAGTTGTATGAGTACAAGAATGAAGTTAAGTCACTTCTAAGTTTATGCCGACATAACATCAGAGAAACAATTCGCACTAATTTTGTTGGAAAAGAATACATTTCAGTAATTCCATCTTCACTGGAAAATGGTGATGGCAATGCTAATGATGGCGATGATGATGATGAGGATGATGAGGATGATGATGATAGTTATGATGATGCTGATATCAGAGGACCAATTCCCACTTACTATGCTGATGTAGTACGCAACTTAGCTATTCCTTCCTCACTGAAAGATTACCTATTGTACAAGTCAGTTTAAGCCAGAAGTGGAGGTGAATAGTGGTGGATATTTATCAAGTCATGACATGGTGAGGTAAATATCCACTCCTTTCAGCAACACTTAGATGAATAATTATTTTTAGTATATACCCCATAGAAAACAGAAAAATGGTTTATTTCTGTCAATATAGCAAAAAATAGTGGGAAATTAAATTATTAATGCACAATGTTGTTTCTTGAGCAGCTTGGAGATGAGAAGTACTTACGAATCTCTTCCAAATTGGCCAATCAGGGTGTGCAATCTTTACCTGTGTGGTGTATACTAACTAGATTTAGGGACTATAAATCCTCATCAGTTAAACCAAGGTTATTGTGGGTCTTGTCTTTTCTCTAATAGCAGGGGATTAATTGTTAATATCACTTACCAAATAAAATGAAAGGGAAATGATAGAATGAAAGAATGATTTTTGCTCTTTCCTTGAGTAAAGTGTACTTAGAGAGTTGCTTTCCCAATGGGAAATCAAAATAATGATAATTATGTTATATCCTTTAAGAGGAATGTGATATCCAGATATTAGTATAGAACTGTAACAATTACTATAACATAACTAAGGTCTAGGTACATAAATTATTTGGTTTTATTTATAGATTAGACCTTTATTATACACGAAACAGTTCAATTGCAAAAAACGTTTTCTGACAGCAAGACAGTTTTAGATCAAAAGTTTTGAAGTTTATTAAATTTTTATGTAAAGGAGCTCTTTGTTTGAAAGAGAAAAAAAAGGAAAACACTAAGAGCATTTCATCATACTCCTTATGTTGAAATGCTTGCACAGCACTGGAGTAACATTTTTCATGTTTTTAACAGTTTCAGTGGTACAGTTTCTCAAACTTTAGTCTCTTTGTTGGACAAAGTAGAAATTAGGGTGAATGCATTACTTATTTGATAACATTATATGTTTTGAACGTATTATAGCCCCAACAATTTGATTTAATTTAATTTATTAGATTTGCCGACAGGCAGGGACACCACAACAGCTTGTGCCAATTACTGCGGGCCCAGTAAACCCACCCATATGCATCCCACCCCAGGGGAGCACATCCACTGCCCAGTAATCTCGTACGTGGGAATTAATGTCTCCTACCCCAAACCCTGCAGGAGACAGGGCCTACAGTTTATTTGTCCTTATCCGAAAAGACTAGAATATCTATCCATTTCTTGACATTATAGAAAGGTAGCAAATTCTTCTCAGTTATTTTAAGACCATGAGTATTGGTCTGGCGGGGGCTTGAACCCTGGACCTCCTGCACAACACAATCCGGCGCTCTAACCAATTGAGCTAACGGGAGGCGGTCTACTTTTACTTACATGGCTGTAATTGCCAATAATTTCCAAGAATAAAAAAATGAAATGAGAGTACAAGCTCCCTGGGAACCATGAGGGGTAGCAGAGGCAAGCAGCCTTAAACAGTCAATATATTGCAGGCCAAAATTGCCCTACCCTCCTAAAAAGAACAAAAAATACTAAAGATAACTGGCTTACATGGAGACATTAAGAGATGAAATGTCAATTAGTGACCAGAACTCGCAAGTTATTCCACTAAGGGAAGTTTATAATTCTTATGAATAGATATATATGTAATCAAAATCCAAAGGTATCGTGACAGGGATAGAAAGGCTAATAGCAACAAAGAACATGAAGGTGTATGAGATAGACTATAGACTAATTTGAAAGATGGTACAACTAAAAATGGAGGCCTTAATTATTAGTTAAGATAAGGGCACATTAAGCTGAGTCCCTAAAAGCAGAATGAAAGTGTAGAATTTAGCATTCTCTGCATTTTATTTCAGTTTATTGGCCTTTAAAATTTCTCTAGAAAATCTTGTAGTTGGTTCTTACATAAGGTGACGGGTCCCTAGTAGTATGGAACATTAAAAAAGTGAATAAAATAAGTATTTGTTATTGACATCAAAATGTTTGTAATTGTCTAATCAAGTATCCATCTATTTTTTTTTTCTTTTTTGAAAATCTGTCCGATGACTTCTGAGTCACATCTTGAGCAAGGTATTGATCTAACTTTCACTATATTTAAACTGATTTTTAATAAACATTTCTTCAGCTTGTGTTATCAGAATACCTCATCAACCACTCCCTTGACTGTCTGTACAATGACTAGTGTCAAATTGATCCTTTGGAAAATCATCTGATTCTCAGCCTGAAGGGATCCCTTAATTAAACCCATGGAGGACTTAGTGCACAAACAAAGTGTGAAGAAAATGCCAAAAAGTAAATATTGTAACAGTAATATCCTAATATCAATCATTTAACTTGCAAGCATACTCAATTCAGATACTAAAGATATACCTATTATTAACTTTCCAGCCAAAATTCACTTAAACAACAATTAGATAAACCCACATGATATTCATATGCATTTTCTCCTTTTAACGTAATACCCACCCAATGATTATAACAATCATTGTCAGTATCTAAGCAAATTTACACCTACCCCTCCCATACCCAATCAGTGTAAGGAGTAGGTAGGGTAGGGTAGGGCAGGAGTTGGTGCACAGTTGCTCAGATACTGACAATGATCCAATTATAACATGGTCTTTGGCTTGGTCTCTTGATGTTCTTACACCTCAGTATCATATTGCATATTATCCTCACTCATCTCTTTACATTTCTTATGGAACTTCCAAGGAGAATTTGTTTGACAATCAAAAGCTTTTTAATTTGGTGAACATGGATTCAGCAGTGGTTGCTGTGGGGAGAAATAAGATGCTAATTGTCACTCTTAGCAGTTAAAAAAGGGGAAACACCATCCATACTGCATTAATTTCTGAAAGCTTGATAGCTTTAGGTTTAAAATTTCAGATTCAAAATGATTTTGACTTGAACCTCTCACAGCTGAAATCAAACACGTCCATAGTAGTGGCTAATTTTTTTGCTTCACAGAGTTAGCAATGGTTGCCCAAAGTGGTACACCATTTGTTTGTGAAAAATTCTACAACCTCTCCTTCAGAGAAGAGGAAAAAGTATACCCTTAAGCTCGTAGTTTTCTGCAGTTTGTATCATACGTTTGAAGAATTTTGAGATTAAATTACTTAAGCTCAAACGTGTCGAGAATACCCATACAAAGACCGGCATCTTTGAACATAGTGACGTCATTTGCGTAATTGTGCTTTGCGGCTGCCAAGCTAATATGGCGACAAGAAAGCCCCTTCACAGCACTCACAGCTTTGATACGGAATCTTGCGAAGGAGGAAGAGAATTGTTCGAGGCTTGTAGAAATGGCGACGTAACAAAAGTTCGAAGAATAGTTAACATTAACTCTAATGTAAATCTCCGTGACACAGCTGGCAGAAAGTCATCTCCGCTGCACTTTGCGGCAGGTAAGCGAATTCGATGAAAACAAACAATTGATGGCGCCCTCGATGTCAAAGAAAATTAGTCGTTTTTTTCGAGTGTAGATGATCCGATCGATTTCTTTTGGTTTGAAACTTTCTGCTCTGTTGTATTTCTGAGAGTTACAAGATGCTTGTGTAATTGTGAATGCAGTAAGGGTATATTCTTTCTATGAAAACTTTCGCAAGCCTTTACCTCGACATTTATCGCTTTCTCTTTATTTTTAAATAGAAGTCGTTTTGTTAAAAGTCCATTTTATCAGTTATGATTTCTCAATTTACGGCGAAAGTTGCATAACGTGTTGGAATAAACCAAACATGACCTGAGGTTTAGCGAAGGTGGCAGAGCGATCAAAATTATTGTCACTGAAAACTCTGTGATATACGGCTGACATTTTACCAAATCCTAAACTGTTTTCGATGGTGATTTGCTTTTGTTCTCTCTCTTCTTACCTTATTTTGGGATGACAGTTTTTCAAACGGAACTTAATTATTTGAAGCATTACTAGCAATTTTTAAAGCCCTTTCATTGTGACTTTTAAAGAACATGAATTTTTACAATACATTTTTCTTCCCCCGCTGAGAGACAGCTCACATGGCAGAATGAATAGAACTCAGAGCGGTATTTTGACAATTTGAGGTGTACGTTTTGAAGAACCTTGCATGAAACCAGTCCTTAAGGAAAACTGTGCTACAGTTTTCGTAATCGCTTACTCAGAAATATTATTTTTCTGCTGTAAAACTAATGCCTTTACTTCCTAACCTCAGGATTTGGAAGAAAAGAGGTTGTGGAATACTTGCTGCAACATGGAGCTGATGTGCATGCAAAAGATGATGGTAGGACCTGTTAACTATTGCAGTTTACACTTTCACACAATTTATCATCTTACCATACCCATATGTACCACACTTTTTTTTCACCTTGAATCACTTCAGTGTTATTGTAGACACATACTGATTAGGGGTCTCCTCACAAAGATAATAGTATTCCAAGATGCTTTTAGAATTTGATTGGGCAGAGCCAGTATGGCGCATGTGAGACATGAGCCATGGCCAGGAGTATAAGCTCTTATAGGCACTGTGGCATAAACAAAGAGGCAAGATACAGGTGTATAAGCAGCCTTGTGCTGCATCACCAAAGAGAGCCTGTTGGCTGGCTTCTGAAAGTATGACTACAAAGTGTGATTTGGCTAGAGTTGCACTATGTAGACTCTAGAAAAAGAGACTTGAGTCAAGGGAAATTCTCTCTCCTTCTAGGATGTGACAAAGTCCTATTTTAAAAATGCTGATGTTGTTGTTCATTTTGCTTTTAGTGCACTCGTGGTCAGTTGTAAATTTCACTTACCTTTTGTTGTGGTTTTACTTAAGTTTTCGAGTAGTATTGATCCTAACAGGGACTCATTTAGTTCTGTTCTAGTGGCCCTTGCAATTAATTAATGACACTATTAAGTTCTTTTTTTTTTCTAAAAAATCATGGATGGCTAAAATCCAGTATCTTATTGTTTGTATTGTGTGACACCCACAGAATAATGAGATATTTATGCATGCACTTGGGTATAGGAAAAAAAACTGAGATGGTTTTTGGTGTCCATTTCAAATTCAGGTGTAGAAAAGGCAACTATCGATCAGTTAAAAATATTGAATCACAACTTACTAACAAGAAATCAAAAGGAAATCAAAATAAAAACAGGCAAACTACCTGAAGCTGGGAGAAAGTTGCCATTGGTTTCAGCTTTGCATCTCACTGAATGGGAGGAGAGTGCAAAGGCAAATTTTAGAGTAAAGTGAAACAACACTAATGCAATTATAGGAAACTTTAAACCCTCCATCGAAATTGTTCGAAACTTATCAATTACTTGAAACTAACATTCCATGTTTGTTCTTAATTTGAACATATTGGTATCAAAATTTACAGTTCAGTATTATGAACTTGTCTTTTCAGTTCATTGGCTCTTTCCTCTTGTGTGGCCATTTGCCTGAATTCTTAGACAGTTATTGATTTTCTTTTCAGTGGGTCAATCAGTTTTCCACCTAAAATCTTGGGTAAATGTAACTTGTTTATTGGCTTGGATCAATTTGGTGTTTCAGGAGGTTTGATACCACTTCATAATGCCTGTTCATTTGGTCATGCGGAGGTGGTGCGATTACTTCTGCGACATGGTGCTGATCCTAATTCAAGAGATAACTGGAATTACACCCCTTTACACGAGGCTGCAGTGAAAGGAAAAGTGGATGTTTGTGTAGGTCAGTAGTACAGCTTGTTGTAAAAAATCACTTTCTTACTGATCCCTTGGTTTTATATGTTGTTTATAAGGATATGGTGAAATATTTATGTGAAATACTCTAGGTCCATGAGAATGTTGATTAGAGGGTATGGAAAACATCATTGTATGATTATATTTCCAACCTTACTTATGCTTAAAATGTGGCTTGAGTTATTGGTAGGCCCTTTGAATCTATTATTGCCTTCTTACAGTTTGTGTTGTTATTAATCAACTATACTGTACCATAGGAGGATAATTTGGTTTATCAACTAAGTTGATAATGTAAATTGGCCATTGTAATGAGTGAAAAGCTGACTGAGGAAGGATTAATGCTGGAAACGTCAGCTTTTTTAAAGTCTTTATGGTTTACCAATTTATATTAT